TTACGATTTAGTTGTTACGACAGAAGGAAGAAGCAGCGAGGTTGCAGCGAGAAGAAACCCTAAGACAGCAAGAGGAGAATCAACGACGACTGGCAGCACAAAAAGAACAACGCGAATTACAAGGGCGCTTGTTGATGGAACAGCAAAGAATAAGAGAGGAACAAAAAAAGAGGGTGAGATTTTTACTTTCTTCAGATGATGTCTATCGGAAGGTCTTTCTTGCGGGGGGTTTTAACAGTAAGTATTACTTTGGAATTTCTTGATTGTACAGTTTTACACGGCAGCCCTTTTTTGAGTTTTAGGAGCAGGCATTACTTCTTGCCGAAGAAGCGCGGAAAAGGGAGGAGGAGCGAAAGAAAGAAATGGAAAAAGTTATTGCTATTAAAGAAGAGCAGAAACGTAAACAAAAGGAAGCAGAGGAAGCACAGCTTGCGGTTTCAGAAAAAGCTAGAAGTTTCCCAGCTTCGGTTCACTTGGCTGGATGTCATCAGTTAACGAAACGTTAGTGGTTGTTTATTATAATAATTAGGGTTAAGTAGTACACTCAATCGGTATTGAGAATGTCCTTTTTTTAGTTATTAGTCATCTACCATTTCCTGGACCATTTCTGCCCTACTCGAGTATTTTGAAAGTGTATGGTGACCCTAATAAAGATGTTCTTCTGGCTCAAACTGATTCATATGCAGTCAATGAGTTAACAAATGCTTTAGCGAGCGTGAATGCATTTGACATGTTAGTTCTATATGTTTTCATTCAAGAGAGGAGCTAGTAGCTATATCTTCATAAAATTTTTTATAGTTTTAGTAATTTTTAGCAAAACTAAACACGAAGATAATGAAGATAATGTCACGGATTTTGCATGCTTGCCGAATTTACTGAAGAGTATTTATCAGACAGATGCATCTGTACGTTTAGTTTTTGTTCTTATTGCTTTATTTATCCATATTTCTCGAAACGAGCACTTGAGTCCTTCATTTATTTCAACAGTTAATGAGTTTTTGCTCTTAACCTAAAAGCTTCTAGGTGTTCTCGACGACTCCAGAGGTAGATATGGCAAACTGCAATGCTTCTACAATAGAAGTGCAACCTGAGAATCAATTGCAAGTTGTAAGTTATCGGCTGTTTTATGAGTGAACTACTGGGACCCTGTGTGGCTTATAGGCGCAACGTGTCAAGATTGTATCAAAAAAGTTTTGAATTGGTGCAATAAGCACAGTGTTTTGTTCCTACTCTTTAGTTGTCATGGAAGTCTTCTTTTCAGCCTAGTGATAAATGTGAAACTCTTTATGCCGTGGATGAAAGAGGAGTGGTTGCTTCAACGAGTGCGAAAGCAGATATGGACGAGTTCGTTCAGTCTAGCAATGCTCTTAACAATAACGAAACAACTGTAGATACTGAAATCCCCCGTTTAACTGCAGAAGAAGTGGAAGAACAGACTCAATTGAGAAAGCAAATAGTCTCCCTTGGAAAGCAACCGAAAGCTCAACAAGGACGTAAAAAGAAAGATATGGTACTGCTATTATCGGGGTTGAACCATGTTCAAGGGAATGAGAATTAAGATATTGAGGGCAGGAATTGTATTTGCTTGTTTTTTCAAAATACTGCCTGTTTCTTTCTAACATTATTGGTCAAATATACATTGTTTTAGGTTGAGTCTTTGTATGACTCTCTTACTGGCTATTTTGACCCAAGCGAAGGCAGACGTCGCAGACAGAAGACGAAAACTTTTGAAGAAGAACAACATGAAAGGGTTTGAATTTTTTGTTTCTGTTTATTTAAGTTACAAATTTCAAATTTTGAATGCTTTTCTTTTGGAAATGGATTCAAAATAAGGGTATTTAAATCTTAGGAAAGAAAGCATGACATTCGACAAAAATTCTCTTGAGTTTTGAGAGTAACTAGGCATTTTGCAATTATATTGGTTAATATTTCGCTTTCACTGTAGCTGAATTAATTTATTTTTTTGTTCACTGGTCACATGCTAAATTTCCTTTATTTTTTTTGTTCACAAATTAGAAAGGTAAAATTGTGATTTTAGTAGTTTACAATGAAAACTAGTGTTTTTTCAAAAAAATTATGTAAATATTCATTTGGCATTAAACGGACTCTCTTTTAACTTCTTCACAGATACCATGCAGTTTTATGATATTTTTTATTTCATTTTATTTTACTTTTCAAGTCTCTCGTAGTTGTACTTTTGGTATCTTTTTGAGCACTTTGCCTGTAAAGCTTTCAAGTCGTGGTGGGTGAGAAGTTTTAATCTAGAAAACCAGTTGAACACTTTCTTTGTAAAATATACTTTTTGTTTTTACGTTTAAAAAGGTGACCGAATTTTGAGAGACCTAGAGGAAGGGAAATAGAGGTATTAAATAGGATTAACTCTTTGTGAACAGCTTTTTTGTTAAAAAGTTTTGATCAATTTCTTTGTGCTTTGCAGAACTGTTGCTTGCTGTTTGCGAATAGGGAGGGAATTATTTGATGTTAACTGAACTGTGTTATTGTATATTTAAATGTCTCCCTGCTTCTTAAATAAGGCTTTGGGTTTCTGTTTACTCACTTTTGTGTCTATGTTTTCTAGATAACTTCCATTAGACAAAATCCTCGAAGAAATTTTTTCTTTAAAAGTCTATTTCTTGGCTTTTTTACTCTTATTATAATTATTGTCTTTTAGCTACCTGCTGGTGCTTCATAACAGTTAGTCAAAGATTTATCATACACCTTTTTGATTGTGACCCATTATAAAGACTACTTTCAATTGGACAGCCATAAGCGAAGTGCTTGTTTTGGGAAAAAAAAAACGCAACCTTTGCTGATTTTATTTATGTCCCACCTCTTTCATTGTGAAGTGAAAGTTAGAGGAACTGGATATTGCATGCGTCATTGAATTTCATTGAAGCAAGTGCCCTAAGAAAATAATTGGAGGTTGTAAAGCATTTAGGCGACAGCTTGGTGGAGACTTTTTGCTTCTTTAATAGTTAGGCAGAATATCGACAGGTAATTGATTTTCAAGTAAGAAGTACAAAAACTTGGTTTCTCGTTTTCATAGAGATTGTTCTTCCTTATCCTCAAAAGTGATTTTATTGGGGAGGTGGGGAGGACGGTGTTGAAGGCACTCTTAGTTTCTCGAAGTTATGTTGCAAGTATTTTGGAAGAGCGATGCTTAATTTTTCATAAAACTAGATTAGGGAACTTTTTTTTTTTTTTGAATCAGTTCAATTTTTCATATTCACTGTTTTTCTCCTTTAGTTTATTTTATTTGGTTGCTCTTTTTTGCCTTCAGTTTTCATTGGGTAGAAATTGGTTTCGGCATATCACATTCAACGCACAGAACATGTGACACCACGAACTTTCAAAATTTTAAATTTCCGGAATTGATTGAAACCATTTTTTCACATTTCAGTCACAAGCTTCTTTAATAAAGATTATGCTTGTTCTTTAGCAACACCGCTTGCATTCCACTTTTGTAAAAACGTGCAGGTTTTTTTTTTTTTTTTTTTTT